CGGCTTCCAGCCGGTGCGGAGCGATTCCGCCGGGATAATTGAGTGTGGCTGCCGCCAGCAACGCCGACCAATGAGCGCCGCCGACGCTGCCGCCGCCCCGCCCCCTCCGCCTGCCGCCCACCCCGCCCACCCCGACTATTGGCTGCTCATCCGTGACGTCAGGCCACGTGACCGCCCCGGGGCGGGGAGCAGAGTGCCTGGTGGCGGCCCACCATCCCGTAGTCATGGTAACCAGGGCCAGATGTGGCACCGAGCCCCGCCGGCCAGTGCTACCCCGCCCACGATGGCAGCCACAGCAGCCCCGCCGCCCGCCGCCACTCGCCGCGCCGCCCTCGCCGCTGGTGGGCGGTGTGACTGTTGTTGACCCACCACCTGCTGGGTGGTGCAAGGTGGGCGCGTGTGTGGGTGCATCACCACGCCTTCTGCCCACCCATCACACCTGCCCACCCACCACGTTTCCCTGCCTACCCACCAAGCCTCTTGCCCACCTACCACGCCTCCTGCCCACCTACCACGCCCCTGTCTACCCACCACGGCCCCCTGCCCACCTACCACGCCCCCTGCATACCCACATTTCCGCGCCCATATTCAACGCAACACGCCCACACAAACACAATCTCTCTGTTTCTGTCTCTCTGTCTCTCTCTTTTAAACACACAAACTCGGAGAATCACAGAAAATAGCTATCAACACTGATAAAAAGCAGTGAGACAAGATGACACATGACCCTGGGTTTTGAAAGAATGTGTCGAGAAATAAGGTATCCACTCTGGCTTACTCCTGAGACCTCTGCATTAAAAAAAGAAAATTGGCACATGTATAACAAACGAAATTACTGTGCTAATAGTTTAAAAAACTGTGCTAATTCTAGAACGTCTCTGCAACGAGTGTTGTTTCTGGAACACTGGAACAACTCACTGACGTTAGTGTATGCTGTAATTGGGTGAGCACTGTCTATGGTTCAGGAGGAGCTGAACCTCAGTGCCTCACTGAAAGAGAAGCGAGTAAAGGTTCGACTCACCGTCTGCTAATCGTTGCTCGCCGTCTGACCAGTCAGAAGTAAACACAGGGTGATTACTACATCGTTAGACTTGAGGTCGACGAAGTCCCGTGTACTCAAGCTGACGAATAACTGTGATGGATATTAAGAGTAATCCCATGGCACGCGGATTTATTCTCATAATTTATATAGTTCTTATAGATCAATTTGTTCAGCGTTGATCCCCGGAACACCTCCAGGTAGCCTCCAGGTTGCACGGTGTACAGGAGTCATGGGCGAACTAGTACCGTGGATGGGAGTAAAGTGTGGAGATATTGACCAACTGTGGATATGAATACTTTTAGTATTGATGAATCCACTCGAGGCGAAATGTACGCAAGTGATCTTTCCTACATAGGATGAGAGACCTATACCCCAGGTGTACCTAGCTGCTAGCACCTAGGATCCCTCCTAGCACCTGGTAACATTACTTAGGTGTATCTAGCTGTTACTAGCTCCTAGGAGCCTATATTTGAAGCTACCCAAGCTTTTAGCTTCAATGACCCTACTAGGTAGACTGTTCCATTCATCGACCAAACCAGTATTTTCCTTCATCATTTCTAACTTCTAAATTTATCCAATTTGAATTCATTATTTCGAGTTCTTTCTTGAAGGGATATCCTCAGAACTTCATTTATATCTCCCTTATTTATACCCATCTTCCACTTATGTGCCGGGTTACCTCATGGAAGACTCGGGACGGGACAATACCAGCGAGCCACTTCGAAATTGAACTTTCACTTGTACACATCAATCATGTCTCCCCTCATTCTACGTCTTACATGAGAATAACTACAAACGACACGACACCATAACTGCAAACAAGATCATACAAGGATACGAGGAAACAGCTTAAAGTTATTTCTGGGTAACTCAAGCAGCGAGAACGTAAGATATTATTTCCAGAAGAGGAAGCAAGAAGTGCACAAGGCACACTGGGAAATATTTCTTCATAAACAGAGTGAGTGAGAGAGAGAGTGAGAGTAGAGAGAGAGAGAGAGAGAGTGAGAGAGAGAGAGAGAGAGAGAGAGAGAGAGAGAGAGAGAGAGAGAGAGAGAGCAGGTCTGGAGCAGTGTGGCAGTTGCAACACCAGTGAGGTAGTGCCTCCTGCTGCAACTACTGCGATAAAGACAAACATACAACAAAGTATTAAAGATGGAAGAAATTCAGTGCGTTTATTTTTTTCTCTCCCCCTTCACTCAATAAACACGCACACAACCACTAACCACCCTCCACGCTACGAACGCATATGTGAGCGCACGCACACACACACACACACACACACACACACACACACACACACACACACACACACATACAGTGGAACAGTGCTAGAATCGTGCACTATCACTTACAACTAACAAATTATGTGACCCACTAAACACAGCGCCCATGATACCTCTAGCACAGATTTGCTTTTGTAACTACGAATAGTTAATTACGAATAGGTAATTACGAATAGGTAATTAGTGCCACATACGCGCCCACCAACTCTAATAGACCCACAAACACACGCGCACTGCCACATGTTTCTACCCAGCTTAACTAACACTTTCATTAATATGCGGCGAACACCATACACGTTAGAAGAGGCTAATGACCAATTATAAAGACACGCCCACGCTAGCACACGCTACGCCCACTCTAGCACACAGTACGCCCAGGCTAGCACACAGTACGCCCAGGCTAGCACACGGTACGCCCAGCACACACGGTACGCCCAGGCTAGCACACAGTACGTAGAACGGTACCCAGGCTAGCACACAGTACGCCAGCAGCACAGAGCCAGCCACACGGTACGCCCAGGCTAGCAAACAGTACGCCCAGGCTAGCACACAGTACGCCCAGGCTAGCACACGGTACGCCCAGGCCTACACACAGTACGCCCAGGCTAGCACACAGTACGCCCAGGCTAGCACACGGTACGCCCAGGCTAGCACACGGTACGCCCAGGCTAGCACACAGTACGCCCAGGCAAGCACACGGTACGCCCAGGCTAGCAAACAGTACGCCCAGGCTAGCACACAGTACGCCCAGGCAAGCACACGGTACGCCCACACTACCACACAGTACGCCCAGGCTGCCACACGGTACGCCCAGGCTAGCACAGTGTACGCCTAGGCTAGCACACAGTACGCCCACGCTAGCACACGGTACACCAACGCTAGCACATAGTATCCTCACACTAGCACACGGTAAGCCCACGCTAGCGCGCAGTACGCCCAGGCTAGCACACGGTATTCCCAGGCTTGCACACAGTACGCCCAGGCTAGCACAGGGTATGCCCAGGCTAGCATACAGTACGCCCACGCTAGCACATAGAACACCCACGGTAGCACACGGTACGCTCACGCTACCACACAGTACGTCCAAGCTGGCACACAGCACGCCCAGGCTATCACACAGTACGCCCATAGTACCATACAGCACGGCCACGCTACCATACAGCACGGCCACGCTACCATACAGTACGCTCATGCTACTACACGGTACGCCCACGCTAGCATACAGTACGCCCACGCTACCATGCAGTTCGCCCACGCTACCTCACACCACATCCACACATCACACCAGCACACACCACAGCCAAGCTACAATACACTACAACCACACACACACATGCTTACCGTACCCACACACTCGCATGCCACGCCCACAATTTTAAAAACACATACCACACACACACACACTACCCACACAGTCACTCGCCAACCCACTCACACTACCAGTACACACCACACTCACACTACCAGTACACACCAGACTAACAGTACCACAACACCCACACTACCAGTACACACCACACCCACACTACTAGTACACACAACACCCACAAATACTGTACACACCACACTACCAGTACACACCACACTACCAAATACACACCACACTTCCAGTACACACCACACTCCCCATACCAGTACACACTCCACTACCGTCGACACCACACTTACCAGTACACACAACACCCACATTACCAATACGCACCACACCCACATTACAAGTAGACACCACACTATCAGTGCACACTCCACTACCAGTAGACACTTACACTACCAGTACACACAACACCCACACTACCAGCGCACACCACAGCACCACTACCAGTACACACCACAAATCATATTTCCAGTGCAAAACCACCTTCCAGTGCACACCACACCCACACTACTAGTACACACCACAAACCACACTACCAGTACATAAAACCGCACCCACACTACAGTACAACAAAAACTTCCAGTACACACCACACCCACACTACCCGTAACACCACACTACAGTACACACCCGCACTACCAGTACACACCACACACTACCAGTACACAACCACACTACCAGTACACACCCGTAACTACCATACACACCACACACTACCAGTACACACCACACTAACCCGTACACACCACACTACCAGTACACACCCACACTACTAGTACACACACTACCATTACACACCCACACTACCAGTAAACACCCACACTACCATGCACACCACACTACCAGTACACACCACACTATCAGTACACACCACACTACCAGTACAAACCAATTACCAGTATACACCACACTACCAATACACCCACACCACACTACCAGTACCACCAGACTACCCGTACATGCCACACCACCCAGTTTCACCATCCACACTTTCCGTAAACACCCACAACACCAGTACCACCCACAAATCCAGTGCACTCCACACTCCCAGTACACACCACACTACCAATGCACACCACACTACCAGTACACACCACACTACCAGGAGACTTAGGTCTCGAGCCCCTCCCCAGATAGGGAGCCCAAAGGCCCGGGCACCACTAGTGGGAAAAAAACCGGGGCCGGAGAGTACCGGCGAATAAGAAAAAAAAACTACCAGTACACACCACACTTCCAGTAAAACCCCCACACCACCAGTACACTCCACACCACGTACCTCCAAAACTACCAATGCAACACC